ACTTGTAACATGGTAAATTGTGTCACATTATGAATATAATTATCATACCTGAACGCGCGCGCGGACACACACACATATACACACGTATATATATCCCTAATGTACTGGGCATAATCTATGGCGTAGCACAACCTTCTTATATGGCTATAACACAGAATATATTTATAGCGTAGTACGGGTGGGTAATAAATGTACCTCGAAGTTCATAAAACTACATTAAGAACATTTTCCCTAATAACTTTCCCGGGTAACTAATCACTTTCAAAACAAACAAACACGAAGAACTCCGTGAATATTGTTATAAGATATATTTTTAATGTTGCAATTTATTTGTTTACTAGAGAGAGCTGTAGATCGTAATAATGACGTCACGATAGGCCTAGAAAATTCTGAAAGATTTGAAACCACAGTTTTATAGTAAATTCGAAGGTAGATTGCATATACGGGAATCAGTGAAGCATCAAAAAGATAGTTAAGAAGATAATGAGTTATTACTAGTCAGTGGAGTGAGTCATTCAGTGTTTTCATTTCCGGCCATGAAGTTGTACAAATAGGTTTATTTTTACGTCAGTATAGTGCAGTTACCAACACCTGTAAAAGTACAAGTTACCACAGTGTTTAAGCTAGTGAAACGTAAAGTATGAAATAAAGTAATCTGTTATAGTTGCGTCGACTGAACGTTGAATTATTTTTACCATATACTTTAAAAGAACGCAAGAACAACAACAAAACAAACAGTTACAACAATATGCTTGGAAAGCAACATCTTCGTAATGATAGAAGATACATACAGAAAATATAGGACAACAAGTATAGCTGGAAGACGATTTACTATTAATATACACAGTCGTTGGTGAAATACACAGAAGTACTGTTTTATACACATAAACCTTATAACTATATCCTAATTAAACAGAAACGTTGCATCTTGATAATCTGTCATCATGCAACTACATGAAATATATTTTAATTTAAACCATAACACTTTGAGTACGAGTTGACGATAAGTACATATATAACCTAAGGACTAAAAGAATCTTTCAGCTCATCTAGGCCTTCCCATCCATTAAATTAAACCTTAAGATAAAACACCCAGTGCTAGCTATTACCACTCAAATATTTATCAACCCTTCTTTTTATTTCCCTAATATTTACTACATCCATCATATCTGAACGCAACCCATTCCAAAGGCCAACTACCCTGCTAGAGTTAGAAAAATAAAACGTTCTTAGCTGAAGATGAATCAAACCCTGTCAAAATATATGTCCTCCAGTCTTACCATTAACTACCAAAAAACATGATCCTTCAACACTATCAGTTCCCACGAGAGGCCGAGTTTTCCTGTGCTGCCCTCCTCCGGCGAAAGTTTCGCAGCACCTGTGGGGCCTGCATATGGTGCTAATTTGAAATATTTCATTTTGCTATCATCATTTTGCTACCTCTTTTTGGTATAGAGGCAGAAATTATACGATATCACTCTATACAAACACTTCAAACTTCTTATCAAAAGTAAAACCAGAACTAAAAGAATTTAAAACAGCATATTAATTAATAAAGACAACCAATATAACAAACCGAGTTGAGATATTCAATGCTATAAATCAAATCACCATATATCGTGGATATCTATAATTTTAAAAGTTGTTTAAAATGAATTACATATTTAAATAAATCCAGGAGAAAGAAATATAACTCTGAACATGTCAGAATATATACGTACACATTCTGTGATAAGTCTCAGTGGATAATGTTTCATTTGTTATATGTGCTTGAAAAATGTTTTATACTTTCACTTCAAATAAATATTGGGGTCCGTAAACCTGAATTCAATAAAAGCCTTTTTATCCGGCGAGAATTAGATAAAAACCAACGGAATCTTTTCTGTAACATAACAAAAACAAACAAAAGAAAAAGTACGATATAAAAAATTGATTTAAAGATATTGTTTGGGTTATATTCATAATTTCAGGTCTTTACACATATAGTTAATTTTTAATGTTTTATTTTCCTTTCTTGTTCTTTACTATTTATTCTTCATTTTGACACAAGTCAGTGGTGCCCTTGAGGCACATTAGAGTGGCTCTGGGAGATGTGCTGCCCTGGGCAACATTGTAAGCCTTGAAAACTAATGCAAAGTATGATGTATATTTCTAAAATGTTTAAACTTTCAATTATGCATTTTAAAACATAACTAATATATAATTAACTAAAATATAAAAGTAAGACCTGAATACAATACGGGACTGCCAAGGCCTTACATTCAGCTGTGCGCGCTATTATTTTATTTTTCGTTATTTTTATTCTTAATGGGTATATACATTTTAGCTCAAAGCTATAGTACGGGAGAATCGAGCCCTGTGTTTTAACGTTTAAATCAATAAACTTACTGCTGACCCACTGAGTTCTTATTAATTAGGTGAAAGTCAGGATGTGTTGTTATTATCGAAATATTGTCGTTAAAATATAAAATAAATATCATCATTACTCACTGAATATATGGTCCTAGTATTATCATCATTACTCTCCAAACTGCTTTATGCTTATTGTATTGTTTTGCATAACGTGCGAAAAAGTTATATTTAGATGTTTTCAAAATGCTCCGATAGATGGCGTGAAAAGACACTTCATCACAACTTAACCGGAGTATTATTATGCACATTTTTAAAGCAATATTTACCGTACGTTTTGATTTCATAGTTTATACCAAATAAATATAACTTTTATAATTATTACTGTTTTAGTTTGGTAAATAAAATACAATGTGTTTCTGCAACTATTCTAAGTCAAAGAAATTTCATACTTCTTCCAGTCAGGACATTTTATTTCGAATAAATATTAAACTGGGTTACTTCAATTTTTATCAATAGATGACAGGTGGTTAGGGCACTCGACTCGCAATCTGAGGGTCGCGGGTTCGAATCCCTGTCACACCAAACATGCTCACCCTTTCAGCCGTGGGGACGTTATAATGTGACGGTCAGTCCCACTATTCGTTGGTAAAAGAGTAGCCCAAGAGTTGGCGGTGATGACTAGCTGCCTTCCCTCTAGTCTTACACTGCTAAATTAGGAACGGCTAGCGCAGATAGCCCTCGTGTAGCTTTGCGCGAAATTTAAAACAAACAATCAATAGATGACAGCTCAATAGAAATTGTTTCACGTTCAATGCTTGAAATAGGAAAAGAAGCCTAAGCAAGAGTTATCGTCACAAAAAATTACTCGTTATGTGGAAAAAAAAATGTTTGCAATCGTAACTCGATTAGAAAATAACAGTTAGGTAGCTAATGTGTCACGACTTGTTGCAGGTCTCTTTCCTGGTTACCCAAATTGATCCATATTCCTTTGTATTCTAATGCCAAGAGTTTTGGAAGTTCTAAATCCCCGATTTGAATTCACCCGTATGATCTGAGAGAATGAATATGTTACACTGGAAAGAGCTATTACATACCCTTCCTGATGTCAAAATGTAGTTATGATACATACCATCTACAGAGGCTTAATATTTGCTGTTTGTCACGTGACCTACTGATTTTCACATTCAAAATCGCTTTAATATAACGTATTCAACCTTCTGTTTAATATATCAATGCTTAAAATAGAGGACGACTCTAAATTATGCATAATAAAAAAACTGTTAGGTTTAAATTTTTAGCTTTAAAAAAAAGACGTGCGTTCTGTTCTAATGAACGGATAATTGGGCTGTGTAGAACCTCCGATTTACATAATAACTAGTGCAAAATATTTCGATCATAAAAAAAATTGAAAGATATTGGGCTACTCTAATCGAATAAAGAGATCCTGACCGTCACTCTTATGACGTATCCATTGTTACAAAGTGCGGAGCACGTTTTTGCGGCAACGAGACGAACCTACAGACTGATACTGTACGTTATCATTAGACCAAGCCTGGCCCAACAATTTAAAATTCTTCAATTTGAAACCATCGTCAAGCTCCTATCAGAGCTGTAAAAAGTGTATTTATCCACACAGAAGTTTAATAGTATTTTTGTATTTATGGCAAAGCTACCAAGGCCGTCGTCCCTAATTCTGAACTACTGACCAGAGGAAGGGCAGTCAATCAACAGCACCCTACCCTCCATGATAAGGGATTAATTGTCTCTCTTATAACGCGCCCCATTTAAAGTGCTAGAACATTTTGTGGTATCGCACAGATTCAAACCCGGCTGGCCAGCTCCGAAATCCAGAACACCACCAGGAGACCAATTGTTGCCCAGTTTTAATAGTTTTTGACAAAGAAAACTTGGCTGGATATCAATAATTTGTCAGAAGAAATATTTTATTAAGCTGAAAAAAAATTGTAAAGGACTTTATCAATTACTCTCACCCACATTTGATAACACGTATTTAAACAAAACAAAATCAGTTTCTTTATATTTCAAATACATATACAATTTTTGAATACTTTTAACTAGTTACAATTATCCCATGCTAGGGTTCGAAATTACCAAAAAAAGAAAAAAAAATTACTTAAGGCTGCCACAAGAAAGAGGTAGAATTTTACTTACGTTAGAAAATTTTACCTTGCACTAAACTCATAACTAAAACAACTTGATCTACCCCTAAAGTAAAAACTAAAACTTACATTAGGCCTTATTCCTTTTTTTCTGATACGATTGCTCTTATAAAACAAGCAAACAGGAGTAAATATGAACATTGTATGGTTGTTATCGTGGAAGTATAAAAATTTAGTATATAGGCATAGACATTGATTCCAGGTCAAATTTAATATTAATTTACTTAATCATACACATCTTACTTCCATTTCTAACAGCTTTGTGTACTGTTTATAGATTTTTCCTTTTTAAATTGTGGTTCTCCAACTTCAGGCTGTAAAAGTCCTTCTGCTAGTACTTACATCACACAAAGTTACGTACATGAAGGTGATTGGCTGCTCATGCGAGTATTGACAAATCAGAAGCAGCGTTCACAGGCCGCTCACCATAAAGACGGTAAATGTGGCGACTTAGCAACCATAAATTAATAGTTTCTGTGGAACCGTAGGGGGTTCTTGTGTCGGGTAGTATTCTACTTGTGAAATGCAAGCGTTGTGTGGTAAATTTCGAACCCTGCATGTCTCACAGAATTACATGACTTTCTTATCTTTGGAGTGAAGTAGTCCATAGTATTCTTAAAACTTGGGGTTTACATATAAATGTTTCTAATCAGAGGTAAATAAACAAGTAAAACCCATAAAAGGTATAGAAACTCATACAACATACCAAAAATAAATTGAGATCTTGTCAGGGTTTAATCTGAGAATATTAACACTGTCCTTTCGACAGTGCCCGCTATTCCTTTTCATTTCCGAAACTTAAAGAACCGTACACCAGATGCCCTCAGTACTAAAACCACAGGTGTGATTATAGAGGTCAAGTACATCCAAGCCCCCCCCCCCAAGAACCTCACAACGGGCCAGGAAGTCACCAAACTGTGACTGCTGGCTTACTATTAGAAGCTAAGCAGCCTCACGTGACTTCTCTAACCTAAGAAGAAGGTTCGTCAATCACACACGTTCTAAACAGTTCTATCTCGCCGGCTTAAACAATACATATTTACACTTGTGGTACTCAAGATAGAACATACATAACACAACTGTTCGATTTGAGGCTAGAGAAACTTACACAATTTACACTTAACTTGTGGTGCTTAAGATAGAACATACATAACACAACTGTTCGATTTGAGGTTAGAGAAACTTACACAATTTACACTTAACTTGTGGTACTTAAGATAGAACATACATAACACAACTGTTTGATTTGGGGCTAGAGAAACTTACACAATTTACACTTGTGGTACTTGAGATAGAACATACATAACACAACTGTTTGATTTGAGGCTAGAGAAACTTACACAATTTACACTTAACTTGTGGTACTTAAGATAGAACATACATAACACAACTGTTCGATTTGAGGCTAGAGAAACTTACACAATTTACATACTACCCTTTAATAAACATACCCGATTACTGATGAGAAAAGTGGGCTTCACATAATAGTTACATAAAGGCATCAACTTAAAATAATTAACACATAAATAATTATTCGTTCAAATTTTTGAGTTTTATTCAGTATCGTTTTCGTTTGTGGGCATTTCTTACTCTGTTGTTATGGTAACCAGATTGTGGCTATTTATTACTATGTTGCTATGGTAATCACAACTCATAATTTCAAATCACTCAAACCAGGCATGTAATGTTGATTCTACTGAACTGACAAATATTTTTTTCTTTTATCTAGACAGTTGAGGTACATAATCAGCTTTACTCTGGGACAAAATTAACAATTTAAGAACAAAGAATCGTTGGAAATAAATATATTTCTTTTAAAAAACGTTGTACATCATGCATATCATTTATGTTATGACACTGAACCAAGATTTACACAGATTTAAACAACAACTCTAACCCCTTGTCTTAACTTTGTTCTCATGTTTAACCTACGACTCAAGCACATGGTGCGATTTGGTAAAAACACATTTAATTGTTCTATCTTAACTTTGTCCTGATGTTTAACCTACGACTCCTGCACATGGTGTGAATTGGTAGAAACACATTTAATTGTTCTGTCTTAACTTTGTCCTGATGTTTAATCTAAGATTCCTGCACATGGTGTGAATTGGTAAAAACACATTTAATTGTTCTATCTTAACTTTGTCCTGATGTTTAATCTAAGACTCCTGCACATGGTGCGAATTGGTAAACCACATTTAATTGTTCTGTCTTAACTTTGTCCTGATGTTTAACCTACGACTCCTGCACATGGTGTGAATTGGTAAAAGCACATTTAATTGTTCCGTCTTAAATTTGTCCTGATGTTTAACCTACGACTCCTGCACATGGTGTGAATTGGTAGAAACACATTTAATTGTTCCGTCTTAACTTTGTTCAGATGTTTAATCTATGACCTCTGCACATGGTGTGAATTGGTAAAAACACATTTAATTGTTCTGTCTTAACTTTGTTCAGATGTTTAATCTATGACCTCTGCTAGCTATGCCTTATGTTTCAAAGCAAACGTTTTGGCATTTACTGAAAAATCATAAAACAAAATCACAGAATATATGTATAATAAAAGTGGTGACACCAAATAGCTGTAAAGACACAACAAAATTACATTTAACAAGTCTATCACACTGGACCATCACTCACTAGCACGAAGAAGAGAAGAAAAATCATCACCACATATATGTAAGAAATGACATTATAATCAACCAAAAAACATGTTGGAGCACAACAAGCTATGGCTTTGAATAGTATCACATTCTACTTTAATAAATATTCCTTTCACACCACACTTGTTAGGTCTAAGAAAGTTTAACATGAAATATTCCTTTCACACCACACTTGTTAGGTCTAAGAAAGTTTAACATGAAATATTCCTTTCACACCACACTTGTTAGGTCTAAGAAAGTTTAACATGAAATATTCCTTTCACACAACACTTGTTAGGTCTAAGAAAGTTTAACATGAAATATTCCTTTCACACAACACTTGTTAGGTCTAAGAAAGTTTAACATGAAACATTTTTTTCACACAACACTTGTTAGGTCTAAGAAAGTTCAACATGTGTTTACATCCTGATGGGCTACTGTTTTCTCGTTTTTTTTAAACACCTAACACAAAACTACATTACGAGCAACTCTAAGTATATAAAATATCTTGTTTTAAGTTTATCAATACTTTACAGATCATAAGCATCTTAAACTGGAATAAAAACAAGTCTTTCCAAAACCAAACTTGTGTACAGTAATGTTTAAAGTCAAAATAAATATTCTAATTAGTTGTTAATAAATAAATTTATTCCTTCTTCAAAACATCTTCATATTAAAATCATTCTTTACTTTCCAAGACAGCTTGAAATATGCTAAACTTGTAGTGCTAAAATAAAATTTGAGATAAATGCATAAAATTTTTAGGATTAAATATTTTTCAGCTGAATGCATAATGGTAAGTTAAAGTAGCCTTTTGTCACCGAGTTACAGAAACTATATTAATTAACCATACAAGCAAAACGTATCAATAAAAAATCTAGTTTCATCAAGCTCACGAAATATTAACTGATTATGAGCATCAACATATAATTTTTCCGAGAAAAATTTCCTACATCACATCTAGAGCACCAATTTCTAAACACTGTGTGCAAAGAACATCATGGCGGTTTTGGATTAAACGTTGCCATCTTTTTTTCCCCATCAATTCTTCAGTTTGTTTATATACAGATAATTTACTTAGGTCCACATAATGAATCATGTTTTTAACCCAATACATCCAGAAATGATTAAGAGTCTACCATTAGATGACTAAATTCTGATAGACTACTTTATGCTAATCTAAACGAATAGTAAGATTTGACTGTCACTCTTATAATATACCCAGAGCCACTATAGTGCAAAGCACAATTTTGTGGCAATGAGATACAAACCATGGACCCTCAAATTCACATCTAGCACACTAATCACTAGTCATGGCTCAACTGTGTTTGTAACTTGTTCTAATTCTTGTAATATAATTTAGATGAGGTTAATTATAACAATAATTGCACTAACCTCTTTTTACATTAGAATCAAATGATCTAAACATACAACTCCAAGAGGATGCCAAAATGGGAAGACACAGAGAAAGAGCTGCTGTCATAATTAACTAACTGTGGTTATTATTATAGAAAAATAACTTTTAAAAATTACAACAGCATGATAACACCTAAATTCATTAATATTTATTAAGTTTTATCTGCTTTAAAGAAAATGAATTTATCAGCTTCAGAATTAAGTACGCTCTGTACTACTGCATAAGGAACATCGTGAAGATTTTGCATGCCCTGTAGAACAAATGTATAAAATAAAACATCATCAGTGAGGAAAGAATTACCAACTATTCAAAGTATATTTAACTGGAGATTATTTTGGATATTTATTGCACAGAAAAGTGTCATCTCCCTTCTTCTTGTATTTTCTTCATCTTTTTAAGCTCCCTTAAGGCTCGCTTGGCTGCTGTACACTTTGCAATACGTTTGTTTCGTCCCACGCCCACAAAACTTCCTTTTCCAAACACTTCCACTCGCACACGGACTTTTCCCTTCAGAGTCGTCTCGGCACGTCTTGTGAAAAAGAGAAGAAAAAACAAACTTGATAGTCGCTAAACAAAAGACAATAGTCATCGTGGGTACTTCAAGTTCTATCATACAATATAGCACTAAAACTAAGAGAAATTAGAAATATAAAAAAATATTTAAGATGAGAATAGTTAATGCAATGCTAATATAAGGTTGAACAAAAACACTGATACCGAATGAAGAGGAGTATTTTAGGGAGATATGAAAAAAAACTACTTAGTATTGTTACCAGTCTTAAGAAATATTCATATTATACTCACTAGAACACAATTAAAAACTGTTGACTTCATCACGACATAAACTTTCAAGGTATCAAGGTAATAATACCACGATAAAGTGCAGTTAATCACACTTAACTAGAGATTACTGGTTAACATACAAGTCTCTATACTACCACTGAACATATTATAAACAAAACTAATAAATAACACTGAGATGAACAATTCTATGCTTACTGAAACTTAGCTGTTTGGGGTTCCAACTCCAACAGTTCTCTAATGGGTGACTTAGGAACATGAGTGCTGAAATATTCTGAGGGGGAAAAAAAAAAGAGTCTTATTCATATGTTTCAGTCAATTTACACAGTTACAATAACACAAAAACAAACATAAGCCTTCTTTCTTCCCCCACACACTAGTCTACGAACAATAAAACTCCACAGAAAAATTTGTAGTTATGGATATGAAATTTCATAGTTATTAATGTTGCACTTACAATTTTGAAAGTGAAAAAACAAATTTAATTTTTACCCCCCCCCCAACTCTTTATTAAGATACAAGTCAAATTACATTTCAACCAACACTATTACTATAAGAATGTAAGAACCTGTAGACAAAACAAAAAACAATACATAATCTGATGACAAAAAAAATAGAGAGCACATGGTATTTTAGGTACTGAGGAAAAGTGTCAGGTTGTAAAAAAAATAGTTTTCTAACAAAATAAATAAAATCTGGTTTCACTCGTTTCTTTTAACTAACAAATGACACATGGGCTGCCCTTACTTAAAGGAAACCATTGAAACACTAGCAAATGCTAATGAATAATAACACACACCACCAACAGGTTACTAACAAATGTCAATAAGTAGCCCACACCTTCAACAGGTTACTAACAAATGTCAATAAATAACACACATCACCAAGTGGTTACTAACAAATGTCAATAAATAACACACATCACCAACTGGTTACTAACAAATGTCAATAAATAACACACACCACCAACTGGTTACTAACAAATGTCAGTAAATAACACACACCACCAACTGGTTACTAACAAATGTCAATAAATAACACACTCCTCCAACATTCTGCTACCATATATCACCAAGTTATACACATGTTTAACTTTTTATTTGATTCATAAACCAAATGCAGCTTTAATCTTCTGCATACAATTCTCAAATATACTTAAAAGTCAATAATAAATGATCTATTAACACAATGAATATCTTGAAAGCCATTGTTTGTTTCATAAAAAAATTAAGGATTCAGAAAATGAAGAATATTAAGAGGGTATACATGAGGATGAGTGCCTAAACCTTACAGATCCTTCTTCCAGTACCAACAATATATTCTAATTGCTCTCATAATAGCTTTGCATTCACCAATTTTCACAACTTTGCTCAATACATTAATTAAGGTTCATGTTACTAACCCCCCCCCCCTTATATTCTCCAACATTCACCAATTATTTCTGTACAATCCAAATGTTATAGCATGAATTCCTATTTCCACATAAATCTTGACAAGGAACTATCACATAACCATTTTGACATACAACTGTTTTAATTTCCTCACTGTTAGTGATGTCAGCACGTTAGCCTAATAGCATGGAAAGTTCACCTTGGTATTTAATTTCCTATTATAGTTTTAACCTGCAATCAAAACAAATCGTTTGATAAATGTTTTAAGATATATTCTGCACCATTATAGAAATGCTGCATCCCAAACAAGACATTAAACAAATCACCTGGACTTTTGTATATAATTAAGAAGACAGTTGAGTTCTCCAATGTTACAGCATTTGGTACAAGTCATTACAGAAATGCTGCATCCTAAACAAGACATTAAACAAATCACCTGGACTTTTGTATATAACTAAGAAGACAGTTGAGTTCTCCAATGTTACAGCATTTGGTACAAGTCAGGCACCACTCATATAGATGTCAAAATTTGGTCTTCTATTCAGCTACAAGCTTTGGAAATAAAACTTGTAACTAAGTTTTCTTCTTTCTTTATAAGCCTAAATCCTAAGGAAACATCATGTTCATAGTTCCAAGTGGTTTTTGGTTAAAATGGATTACTACTTTATCGGTTTACTTCAGGTAATACGTTGCTTAACTTTCTTCACTACCTCTGTCACGTGACCAATAGCTCACCATTGAATAGCCTGTTGTCTTATATTACCTGCTAGAACCATGCCTTCCTTTGTGGGTATCCATTTCTTCAAATAGCTAAAATTTTGTGCCTTACATGATTTGAGAGCTGAAGAATAGAATAACTTCACACCAGAGTCCTGCTATGTAACCCCCTAGAAAGAAGTTAATTTTAGGTGTCATTTGCACTTTTAAATCACCACACCATGGGGGATGACCAGGGGCAAAATAATTGGACATGTAATTGTTAGCACAGATCTTGAACAGTCCACTCTAGCTCATCTTTTGGGGCAGGCTACTTTTAATTGAGCTTCTAGGGCTACCAAACCTTCCACCAGATTTTATTTATTTTTACAAAACTTTTTCATGTTCAACAGAAACAGAATGTATTACAAGCTGCACATGTGACTGATTATGTTGAATAAAACCTGCACCGATGTGACAGTGTCCAATCACAGATAGAATTATCAATTTGTGTATACAAAACCAACATACACATTACTCACCAATTTCTGGTTTCATCATTGCATAGTAAACCTTCCAAACTGTATCTAGAGACATTTCACTGTCAAGGTAAATAGCTCCAGCAACAGACTCAAAGATGTCTCCCAAAGCCTTTGGCACCTCTACTTCTTCAGCCTCTTCACACTCATCTTCCTCCAGATAATAGTCCTAATTTCAATACCAAAAAAAGTAAATAAAATAAGAAAGGCAGATGCATTCAAACACAAAGAGATGAGTTACGATATTGAGTAATATCACATAAATTTGACTCCATTTATAATTACTACACTCTATCTCAGTCACTAATTTGGTTACTTTTTGACACAACACCACAGCTGTCTTTAACTCACCACACGTGATTCTGGCTTATTCCTACATCTATTACCTTGTATTAAAGATAAGATTAAGACTACAAGAATTAATCCACTTTTGCTTCCATTTGTCACCAACACTAAAAATCAGTGAATACCTCAGCTCTATTGCTACCTGAATCATCAGAGTAAAGAGACTTAATTCCAATATTTTCTGTTAAATGTCTTAGACCAAAGCTGTGAACAGCAATAAATAAACCCTTTGGGAAAACAACAACAATTTCTAGACTTCTTGCAGAAAATTACTCTTTCTTTATGGACTATAGCAAGTCTAACTTACTAAGCTTTGTTATATTAAGATAACGAAAGTGTTTTGTATAATGTCACCACAAACTTCCACCTCTGTTGTTAACTGAAAACCAAAACAGGTTAAGAAGTGTTCAGTGTATGATAAATAAACAAGATGGAAACCATGCTTTCTGTTGATGATAAAGATTACTATTTTGTTTTTGTTTTTTTAAACTCAATTTGATGAAAACTAGAAGAAACAGTTCCTTTGTCTTTACGTCTAAACAGAATACGAAAATGGTATGTACATTAAGCTTTACAGTGTTCAATTGTGCAATGTCCACTTCATTTAGAATCTGCCACGACAACAGACGTAGCAACTATATATATCAGTACACGTACTGCAGCCCACTTTAGGCCTAAAAAAATCTGTGTTCACATTATAACTAAGCTTTCAATGTTACAAGAAAGTTAATAACTAACAATACAATAAACACACTCCTGGGAAAGTTGTGAAGGCCAGATAAACATCATTGATTTGAATATATATAACAATATATGCACATTTAGCATCCACAACGAAACAGTGTTACAGTGAGGATTAGTCTAATTAAACAGCACTATGCTGAGGACTAATTAAACATTGCTAGAGTGAGGAGTAGTGTAATCAAACAGCACTATGATGAGGACTAATTAAACAGTGCTAGAGTGAGAAGTAGTGTAATCAAACAGCACTATGATGAGAACTAATTAAACAGTGCTAGAGTGAGTAGTGTAATCAAACAGCACTATGATGAGGACTAATTAAACAGTGCTAGAGTGAGGAGTAGTGTAATCAAACAGCACTATGATGACGACTAATTAAACATTGCTAGAGTGAGGAGTAAATCAAACAGCACTATGATGAGAACTAATTAAACAGTGCTAGAGTGAGGAGTAGTGTAATCAAACAGCACTGTGATGAGAACTAATTAAACAGTGCTAGAGTGAGGAGTAGTGTAATCAAACAGCACTATGATGAGAACTAATTAAACAGTGCCTAGAGTGAGAAGTAAATCAAACAGCACTATGATGATGACTAATTAAATGATGCTAGAGTAAGTAGTGTAATCAAACAGCACTATGATGAGGACTAATTAAACAGTGCTAGAGTGAGTAGTGTAATCAAACAGCACTATGATGAGAACTAATTAAACAGTGCTAGAGTGAGGAGTAGTGTAATCAAACAGCACTATGATGAGGACTAATTAAACAGTGCCTAGAGTGAGGAGTAAATCAAACAGCACTATGATGAGGACTAATTAAACAGTGCCTAGAGTGAGTAGTGTAATCAAACAGCACTATGATGAGGACTAATTAAACAGTGCTAGAGTGAGGAGTAAATCAAACACTACTATGATGATGACTAATTAAACAGTGCTAGAGTGAGTAGTGTAATCAAACAGCACTATGATGAGAACTAATTAAACAGTGCTAGAGTGAGTAGTGTAATCAAACAGCACTATGATGATGACTAATTAAACAGTGCTAGAGTGAGGAGTAGTTTAATTAAACAGCACTATGATGAGGACTAGTCAAACTGAGGTTGCCAATCTCTCTTGTCAAGATAACTTCAGTTTAAAAACTGTTCTTCAGCTACACTTCTGGTTGTGAACACTTTCACACGGGTGATCTGGTGTATACAATCTGCAATGACCCTTTACCTCTCTTATAGAATGCCAACAATTTTATACATGCCATGTTTCAGAGATATTTCATTTGAAATCCTACTAATTACAGACATACATTAATCTTATTATCCAACATATAAATCCAAGTTAACTAAAGAACTTACATTGTAATATTCAAATCCTGTACGATTCTTTTTCAACTCCACAAACTTCGCAATGACAGAAAACAACCCATGGGATATAGACTTGAAGTACTTATGAAAGTCATACTTCACTGCTAAAGAAGCAAAGAAAGTGTTGTTCACTAGGGCAGATCGAAGATCCGTCAGAGTTCCAGGAGTATGTTTCTGCTGATCTTCGTACAAGTGTCGGGTAATAAGATAGTCAAGAACGGCATCTCCCAAAAACTCTAACCTCTGGTAACAGTCAGTAAGTTTATTGTAATGGTATGAGGCATGGGTGAAAGCTTGTAAGAGGTAAGACTTATCTTTAAAGACATATCCAATCTTTTCTTCAAACACATCATAACCATCTGCCAATACTCGCAATTTCTCATCCTTCCCTGGAACATGAGTAAGAAGAGGTGATTCTGGAGGTTTCAGTATTCCATACTTTGGGATGGAACTCACATCATCTTCATCTTTCGGAAGCTCTGGAAGCACTCTGAGACCAAGCCAGGACATGAAAAGAAGTGCTGCTCGAGGCCCGCACGACACGAGATATGCACCAATTAGTGCTTCTACTCCATCAGCAATACTCTTGTCTGGAATGCTCTGCTGAGTAAGCAAGTTGTAGGGAATGTAATCTTCGACATCTGATGGGACAGTTGTGGTGTTCTCAAAAGTTTTCTTGTTTTCAAGAACACTTTCACATATCTGCTCTTCGGTCATCTGAGTAAGATCTTTCAGGGTTGCTATATTCAGATTTCCTGTCATCATGCCTGCATCGATTAATGCTTTTTCTAGTCCCTTCGGCACACTATAGCAAGGTGACAACCAATTGTCATTGGGTTCAAATTTAGTGGCAATCATTAACTCCCCCAAATCTTTTCGTTTTCCCAATCTGTACAAGTTCAGGTTGCTAATTTGTTTACTTCTCAGAAAGGAAAGTTTTCCTTCGTGAATATTTGGATACCTACAGAATAAATATGCAGTTATTGCATATTTTAAGAAGGAATCGCCAACAGTTTCCAACCGTTCCAAATTAATCCCATCATTTGCATTTGACATGGTTAAACCCTGCAAAATGATGCTTGGACTGGGCCCTGGATGATTTTGCAAGTCTTCATCAAAGTGGACACGGAATACGTTTGCTTCTTGAACTGCACGATTTTCTCGATCAGGTAACAACTCACCAAACGGCAGGTTTTGATTGGTATTCTGAGTCACACTAGGACTACTGTATTCGCTGATCTTGAAGGATAATGATGGTATTTCCTTTTCTGGAGGTTTTCTGTTAAATTTTTCAGCATCTCCTTCCACCAAAGCTTGATTTATCATTTTGTAAAGCTTGCCAAATTTGTCAGTCAAACTGATTTCTTCGTTCATGTCAAGATCTTCAAGAACAGATAATTCTTCTTTCCTTTCAATTAGTTCGAAAGTAATATCTTGATTTTTGGATTCTAGCTCTTCCTCCTCCTCCTCTTCCATTTCTTCTTCTGGTTGAGCCTCCTCTATCTCCCAGTTTACAAACAAGGAATCTGACTTGTTCTGTAGTAACTGCCAAGCACTATCTGAAGACTTAGAAGTATTAGTATAATCAGAATAAACTTTTTCAGAGGATGAAAAACCTTCCATTCTTTCATTACCTTCCAATATGTCTACTTCAGATTCATCAAACAAAGAGTCTTCATCCATGCTGTCCCAAAGTTCGTTTTCTCGACATGATTCCAAATCACATGATAATCCTTTCAAGTTAAACATGCCAGGAGCTGAAATCCTGCCCAAGCCAGGAATATTTAGGTAAGTTACTTCTCCTTCTTCTATTTCTGTATCCCACTCCGCATCCCAGGCGGATCCTTCAAAAGTGCTGGGGGAACCATAACGAATTCTGTATGATCCATCTTCTGTTATTTCTTCATCAGATGGTTTTATAGGGGCCCAGTCTCCAATAAAGTTTACATTTCCCATGTTGAGGGATAGCATTTCTTGTTCAGCTAAATCATCATCATCTGGAATGTGCACTTGACTGGGGTCAAAGTGATCAATAACAAAATCACCATCTTCCAACTTAGAAGATGAAACTCTGTCATCAGAGGAGTCGGTTATCAGATTTGGATCTATATGATCAGAGCCTTTATTAATTTGTTCGTTCCTAGTTCCACGTTCCGGGGTTAAAGCTTTCTCAGTTTCTGATGACTTGGGGATAAGCCATCCAAAATCGAGAGTTGGCCACCTGAATCCATCTGGAAAATTACATGATCCCACACCAATTTCTTTAGCTACCCTTACCCTAAGCTGTTCAGCAAGCAGTAAGGAATTAACACGATAAAGGATACAGGGCAGACAAACGGCTTTCCTCCAAAGTGATGCTGGGAAAGGATGTACTATACATAGCTCCGGAATCAATATCTGCTTCTGCTGTAGATTCTCACGCTTTGCTTTCTTTGTCTGCTCACTGCTAGTAGGAAGTGAATGTCCTTTTCTGTTTAAATACCGAGGTGTAAGAAAGTTCAACCGAGCAGAAGTATGGTCCACATCAAGTAGCGGTTGGTCAAGATTCATTATTTTGATGTCATACTTCTTGTTGTAATATTTTTCAAAGGTTTCAAATTCAGCATCGGGGAAATCACTCTGTGGGGTCAACTCCTGACAAATTTCGGCAACGTAGAAGAACTGTGGTTTGTCCAGGTTTCTGTACCAAGGCATAACAACTGCATCTCTGTAGTCTTCTGTTCTAAATTTATAGTTTCTTCTTTCTTCTTCCAATATCTTATGTGGAACAACACCCTTTTGCTTGTTAATTATCTCCACAAACTCCCAGTCCACACCAAAAACTTCATCACTTTCTACAAGAAACATAATAAAAAAGTTATGCATCAAAACCCAGAAAGTTTACCGTACAACATTTACAAATTTACCGACTTTGAAAAACACCTCATTTTAATGAATATTCCATATATTTTTCAACATCTTTTTCTGAAAATAGCTTCAGTAACATTCCACAGAATTCAAAAAATACAAAAATATTTCACAAATGTTCATCAGTGTTTAAATTCTTGAAACAATGAACCTAACCATGAACAGCAGTGTCTAAATGGATTTAAAAAAAACAACAATAATAATACTGAACTTTCAGGATAAACAACTATTCATTCAAGATCCATGTAAGTACCTTTTTGTGCATTCTTGGCCAGACTTTTAAAAGTTCTAAATAAGCTTTTCCTCTAGTTAAACCAATTCTAATCATTCTTGTGAAAAACGTTTTTTTTTTGGTTTTTTTTTTATTCCTGTAAACTCCCAGTGGAGCATAGGGCCACAACAACACCTCGCCAACGGAAGGTGTTGTTGCAGTTACTTGTAGCAGGTTGGTTTTTACGAGGTGGAGTTGCTAGCCCCCTGCCCAACCGTCCTCCTTTCTCATCCTGGACTTGGGACCAGGCAAAGGTGGAGGTTGGCATGTTTGGTGTTACGGGGATTCGAACCCCCGACCCTCAGATTACGAGTCGAGCGCCCTAATCACCTGGCCATGCCGGGCCTTGCGAAAAACTTACTAATGTTTTATTGAAACAACGAAAATTTTAATATTTCTTTTGTCACTAAACCTTTAGACTTTTCCTGAAATAGGCTTGTTGTGCAAGTACAATTTCAAGTATTCATAAAAACCACTTTTATCCACAAATGACACATCAAACTTTTGGCCTTGGACTTTATTTAGTTTCTATGCAGTAATCATTTTTAAAAAAGTTATCGTGATACAGGGGAAGATATTCATATACACAGAAAGACTTCAAATCAGTTATTTTAACATCTAAAGGAAAGATTGCACAAAAATAGAACCTCTGTACTTTTGATAATATTTTTAGTCTTCAAGGTCATAAACAGGGTGGCTGCTACTTCTTAAATTTAAAGCAAAACATTTACTACTACTATTATTAAGTATGGTAGTACTTAACAGTAGGGATCGAAAAGGCTTCAAAATAATTCATGCACTGAAAAACTACCCTACTGACTAACTAAACAAAAAAACCTGACCATTCAAAGTATTGATTACAATATATTATGCTCATATATAATAATACTGTGCTAAACATGTCACTAACATTTCAAGTATGAAAATTAAAAACTTTCCAAAACAGCAACTTTTTTTTGACTACTACCTACCTACCTACCTGATCACGTCAGCGGGGCTAGCCCCTAGGCGGCTCGGACTATCGATACAAGATTTCTCCAGCTTACTTGACTGGTCTGTGGATATCCGCTTTTGATATTCCGATAAATATATACAAATGTTTTATAAATGGTAAACATATCATGCATGTACTTAAATATCGTTAAAACCTAATTCAACCCAACAGATGGTGCTACATATCGATGGATAGACATGCCACAGTTTCTAAAGGGGAAGTATATACCTTATACAGGTAAAACATAAAAAGTAAACAAACAAGAGCATTAAAAAATTATGAATTATAAAATGAAGTAGGGATCCTGCTACAAAAAGTAATGAAACAAGAATTAAAACCACAGTCACGAATTTATAAAATTTAATCCCTACTTTGGCAGCTTTATGTACTTATCTGTCAGCTAAAGTAAGGATTACATTCTTTAAATTTGTGATTGTGGTTTTAATTCTTGTAAAGGTTATATCATTCAGGGATATGGCTATACTGAAAGTTTATTGATGTTAATGTCCATGGAATGGACATATAAAAACTGAACAAGTAAATAGGAAAACAAAATTAAAATTTTAACGGAAAGGAGGGATAGTTGGTTATTTGTATAATTGCTATAAAAAGTATCTAAAACAAAATAAATGCTGCAATAAAAAGCACACAAACAAGTAAAGTGATACTAGTTAGATAGATTTTAAAATGATTTTCAATCCAATATAGCTAAATGAAGCAGTCTAAATTGCCAACCAAAGTAAGGATTGAAAATCGTTTTAAAA